GAACTCTGTCGTTGGTATTGCTGCGATGAAACGTGTCGCGCGGCCTTTAGCTCGGCACGGCGCGACTCGCGGTGTAGTGACCACGCGTTTTCATGGCGGTTTTGCTGCCCCTCGGCCCATACGTCGCCTGGCTCGCCGGGCTCGATGCGTCCCCGCGAGCGCGATTGCACCGGTGCCTCCTGTGACCGCATTTTGCAGCGCGGGGTGGAGTGCCACTGGGCCTCCAGAGGTCCGGCACGGGGTGGTTGTGGGTGTTCTCGGTCTTGGAGGGCACTACACGCGGCCTGAGGCACGGCGCGGCTCTGCGCTCTTGGTTTCCGCCACCACTCTGTCGTTTGCCCGGGTTGGCGGCTGCTCCTCTGGTCCGGGGCGGCCTGACAAGGCACGGCGCTGTCCCTCGGGTTGCGTATGTATGCCCTTCGCAAACACCCTCGGCCCCTGCATGGCTGTTCTGGCTCCCGAGCTCAGGTAGACTTGGGTGACCTGGGCGCCAACCACGGCGTCCGGGGCAAGTCTTAGCTGGGGTATACTTCCTCCACTCGCGGACTCGGTGAGGAAGCTGTCGTCATTTGGATGCTCATGACCATCGTTGGAGACGACGCTCTCATGGCAGGATTCTCGCACTGTTAAAGTCTTACGAAGAAAAATGCCAAATCCTTTGTAATACGAAGGATTTGGACGCTTCGTAGGGAGCAAATCCTTCGTAGGTACGAAGCATTTGTCGTAAGCATTTGTCGTAAGACTTTAACTGTGCGGTGGTGAATCGGTCGGAGAGCTGTTTTCCACGTGGCCCGCGGGCACGACGTGTCCGGCAGCAAAGAGGAGACAAGCGACACGTGGCGGGCTCGATCGACGTGTGCTGTTACTCGGATGCGACCCCAAACATGCCTTTCGTAGTCAGTGAGAAGAGAGGGCGGACGCCATCGCCAGCGATGTCGTGCCGACCCCGTCGGTAAAACACTTGTTGTCATTGGGTAAAAGAAGCTAAAAACGCACGCGGCTATCAAAGCACGGCGTGGTTAGGAAACGGCTTGCACAGCTTCCAGTCTCGGAAATAAAAACCATACTTCACAGTTGTCCGTTCAATCTCGTCGTCGTGGCCACTGTTGGGTTCGCAGCGGAGTGAGCACACCAGTTACGGAGCAGACAGGTTTATTCTGACACACAGGATACATGGCATGGTCAGGTCAAGCACTAGTAATACGAGAGGTAGTCTAGACCTCTGAACCCGGCAGAGCGGAAGCGCTCTTGTGGCGCACCGCGCTCAGCGGCGTCCGGCCGAACTAGGGTGCGTCGGCTGCTACAGGGGACGATCCCTGCAAAGACCCCGACAAATGCTTCGGGTATGTCAAATTTTGGGCCCCGGAGGCCGTGTTCCCGTATACTCTCCCATTAACTTGTCTCAGGTGTCAGCGCCACAGGCCTAGCTATATGTTCGCCAGGCGCGTCGCAGCGTAACAGTGTTTCGTGAGAGTTGTGGTCTGGCGTGCATATACCTAGTTATTTTTTGAAGCTAACAGCAGATCTATTAGGTGTAAGAAGTATTTCATTTCAACGAACAACTCTGTTTGTACCTTCATTTCGGACAAGATAGGACCTTGGTTCCTCACAACACTCTACAATCATTCCAGGTTCCCAATTTTTGGTGATAGGATTTTGCATAAAAACATAATCAGATGGAGAATATTCAATTGCTTTTCTAGGAAATGTTGGATCATAATTTTCTTTTGACAATAGTAATATAGCTTCAAGTTTATGCTTAATATTTAGAACCAGAGAAGGTAATAATTTACCTAAATAAATTGGAATGGTTGTATTTCATTGCCTACTTATAAACAACTGTGCAGGTGATGCATTAAGACCAGCTATAGGAGTGACTCCAAACTGAAGCAAGCAATTTTGCAAAGTAGATTGAGGATCTTTAGACCATTAAAAAAAAAAAATGTTTGACAATGCTTACAGCTTTTTAAACTAATCCATTAGACTGATGTAAGAGTGGACTGCACGAAACTATTTTAAAATTGAGTTGCTTACAGAATACTATTCATTGATGAGATTTAAAAGGATTGTTATCGACCATTAAAAATTCTGGGGTTTACCATGAATTAAAAATATAAATTAAAATGCATCAATGACAGATTTGGAAGTCTTATCGGAAAGTTTTAAAGCATGTAACAACTTAGAATATAAATCTATGACGACAAATTAGAAGTGACCATTATATTCCAAAATATCTACTCAGACTTGCTCATAAGGCAATTTTAGTAGATTTGACTTGAACATTTCTAATCTCTTTTGAGTTGAGGGAAAGGTAGCACAACTTGCACATTTACTTTTAAAGGACTCAATGTCTACATTTGAACCCGGACAACAAATCGTTTGATGTGCATAAGCTTTACATTTTGACATACCTAAATGACCAGAGTGCAATCGTTTTAACGTTGAGTGCTGAAGGGTTTTTAGGAATTACTAGTTGGTAATAAACAAGATAACCATCTAATGTGATTTCTGATCTAAGTCTAAAGAAATGCTTTAATTCTTTACTCATGGACTTTTTCTGGCCAACCTTTCTAATTGAAATGAATGACTTGTTGTACTTCCTGATCATTCGTTGTGGCTTTAGCATAAATGCACTCAACATTGTTTGCAGCTACAGACGATACAGCATGAACTTAGGTTAAAAGAACTTCATCATTCGTATTAAAGGGCAGATAATCCCTTGAGAGGGCATCAGCAACAAACATAAATTTACCTGGTAAATATTATACCCGGAAATCATAAGGGTTTTAAGCAAGAGCCGTGTAATCCTCTTTGATGAAATCTCTGACAATTGTTGCTTAAATATAGAGACAAAGGGTTCATGATCAGTATGAACAGTAATTGTTTTTTGACCATAGATGTAGTACTGAAATTTTTGTACGGAAAAGGCAGTATCTAACAATTCTTTCTCAATCTGGGCTGGGCATACGTCGTTTTTGCTTTGGTCAAAACTTCGTATGACAAATGCAAAAGGGCGACCATTCTAAAAGAACTACTGCCTAAACCATCTTTAGAGGCGTCACATTGAATTTCAGAAGGTTGGTTTGGATCAAAAACGACAAGGGACGCAGCATTAACAATCTTAGCTTTGATTTTATCCAATGCTTCAGTGTGGAAGTGAACATTTTTTCTAATCATTTGGGTCAGACAAGATTTTTTTCTGCCAGATTCTGACAAATTGTCCACCAATTCTTTTGCCAGATTCAGAATAAATGTGACCCAGGAATTTGACTGATCTACGTTTGAACTAAATTTTGTTTGGGTTGAAGTAAACATTATTTTGTTGTGCTCTCTCAATTACTTTTAGAAAAATTCTATCATAGTCTTCTTTAGTGTTAGCAGCTATTAGCATATCATCAAAACACAACACTTCTCCATCAATATCACCAAACAAATCATTTACAGCTTTCTGAAAAATCTCGGGAAAGACACCGAGACCAATTGGCAATTTTAGAAATTGATAGATACCAAAGGGGGTTAAAAATTTACATAAGTCACAAGAGCTATCATCAACCTTGCAAATGCCAGAAACCTGCAGTTAAATCTAGAACACTAAAGTACTTCTTATTAGCTAGTGACATACTGATATCCTCTTTGGTTCGTATTTCATAGAATGGTCGATTCAGAGCACCATTTAAGTTTTAAGGATCTAAGCAAACACGTAAAGATTTATCAGGTTTTCCTATTTCTACTACAGAAATTATGTAACCTTTATGCCGCTATTTTAGAAGTTAGCTTCCCTGGATCAACTGGATGTCTAGTTTGAAGAAGATAAGCACATGTAGTGAAACTGTCCCATACCTTTGCACGTGTGACATTTCTTATTGCTCGCTGGGCACCAATCTGATCCATGGCTGTTACCACAGTTACTACAGTCCTCCCCTCCGTCAGTACTTATTCGTCTGCCAGGTGTTTGAGAACGAGCACGATAAGACTTGGCGTTTGGGTTAGAGCTGGATCTTCTCCGAAAGTTCTTGGTCTTGTTGTTCTTAGATTTTGATGAGGAGTGGTGCTGGGAGCCTGATGTTGCTCTGGAGGATGATTTTCTACTCCTTGATCTTCTCTCATTGGATCTTCTCCTCTCATTGGATCTTGGACGTGATTCGGTGACAGATTGAACAGTAGCAACAGGTTTTGTTGAGCTCTGCAGGTTTTGATTTCCTTTAACTGGGATCGTTCCGCTTCACGGATTTAAAGATCTTCGATGACTTTCACTAGTTTCAGTTGTTTAGTGAGAAAGAAGTACTGTTGAAGTGTTAGATCCTGCAAGTTATGCACTAACGAATCCATGATAAGGAACTCAGTGGAGCACCAAGCCAGGAGCCTACATTTCTCAATCTTTCTACCTACACTTACACTGATAAACCAAGTGTTCAACTGCTCAACACTTGTAAGTGTGCAACCGCAAGTTCAATACTTGCGAGTGTTCAATTCAGTAGTAGCCCACTT